AGCCGTGTAAACAGGTTGCCTGCTGTTCTTTCCTGATGGCACAGATTAACATTAAAGACACAAAGTACAATGAGAAGAAGAGCAAAGACAAATAAATTATTTTCAAATTAGGGAAACTGGCATATGAGCAACTGGAAAGAGGCAACCTGATCTTCTATGAGGAAGACCTGAGAGAGTGTGGCATTGATGTGACAGAAGCATCAGTGTACTCAGGATTGTGCACTCAGATCTTCAGAGAGGAGTTTGGCTTGTATCAGGGGAAAGTCTTCTGCTTTGTTCATCTGAGTGTTCAGGAACATCTAGCAGCTCTATATGTGCACCTCTCCTTCCACAACAGCAGAATAAATGTGCTTGAAGCACATGAATCTGGAACGCCGGTGACAATGTTGAGTTTGCACAAGTGTGCAGTTGAAAAAAATTTAAAAAGTATGAATGGGTATCTTGATCTTTTCCTTCGATTTCTCATGGGATTTTCTCTGGAGTCAAATCACAGTCTGTTAAAAGGGCTTTTGGTGAAGAAGACAGACAGCTCCCTGGAAAGAGAGAAAACTATTGAGTATCTCAAGCAAAAGTTAAAAACAATCCCTTGCTCAGAAATGGCTCTTGTTTTGTTCCACTGTCTGAATGAACTCAATGATCATTCCCTCATTACTGAAATCCAAAGCTACCTGAACTCTGGAAAACTGAACAGCAACACTTTGTCCCCAGATCTCTGGTCGGCTCTGGTGTACATCTTAATGACATCAAATGAGAAGTTTGAGGATTTTGAACTTCGTAAATATGGAAGATCGGACGCGGCTGTGTTCTGGCTGCTTCCTGTGATCAAGTTGTCGAAAAAGATCTGGTGAGAAAAATCAGTTGCTTACTTACATGAAGTCAATGACATGAAGTTAAATTAAAAAAAAATCTGTTTCTATTTACAATTAGTGCAACTAGTCAACTACTACAATTATTTACACTAAAGAACATCTATCACTATTTGCACTTAGCGTAAATAAGATGATATTTGTTGCTATTTATACTTGGTGCAACAGTACCACTATTTAACCAGTAAATAACATCTAAATAGCTTCTGCTAATAATATACTTGTGTTGGCAGGATGCATGACTGTAATATCACAGAAAAAGGATGCGCGGTGCTTTCTGCTGTTCTTCCATCAATATCCAATCTCAGAGAGCTGGACCTGAGCCATAACAACCTGCAGGACTCGGGAGTAGAAATACTCTGTATTGGATTGAAAAGATCACACTATGACTTTAAAACATTATTGTATGTGTGTTCAGTAAAGCAAAACAGAAACATCATGTCTATATAAGCCCTGTTTACATGTAAAAGTTTTAATCAAACATATAAATCCATTGTCAGGAGGAGCCGGGGTTCTGATGTCTGTAAACCTGATCTTGATTTTATTGTTCTTCCTACTGCTGGACTAGAGGACACAAAGTGTAGGCTGGAATCACTGAAGTAGGTTTCTTCTTTAAGCTTCAGATATTGTATATTCAGGTTTACAAGTGAAACTAGACTAGGCTATATGTACTCTTCTCTCTGTAGTCTGAAGAACTGTGGAGTAACAGAAGCAGGCTGTGATTTCCTGAGCTCAGCGCTGAGTTTAAACCCTTCACATCTGAGAGAGCTGCATCTGAGCTGGAACAACATCGGAGACTCTGGAGTGAAACATCTCTGTGCTGCTCTGGAGAAAGTTCACTGTGCACTGGAAACACTAAAGTGAGTTATAACAAACTTAATTGGTCATAAGGAACTATATCTGAATTGATGATTCATTTAAAAAGTGCAATATAAAGTCAAGGCAGAGAAGAACTGTCCTACTAATGCTACTGTTGCAACACTTCCATTTGTCACTATGAAAATCAACATAAAACAATTCAGGATATCCAGTGAGAAAATGTAAGGTTGAACTTGATTTTATCCATCGGGAATTCATTAAAAGGTAAATAAAAGTCTCTATATGACAAAAAATTGAAAAAAACAATTGGCCTTGGTGATGTCAATCAAAAAAGTTAAGTTAATAAAGGATTATGAGGAAAAAATATGTGACTTTTAAATCCATGTTGACTTTAAAGTAATAATTCACTCAATCATAAATGGAAATTATTTACTCACCCCCATGAGGAGAAACAATTGGTGTTTATTTTAAATGCCACTCACAAAAAATGTTTCATAATTGTACTCCATATGACTACTAGGCAATATTTTAAGTCTCCTAAAGCCATAAGATAACTTTATGTGAGGAACAAAGTGAAATTAAAGCAATTATTGATTAATTACCGTTCTCAAAATATAAAACGCGATCGCGTCAGTTAAAAATGGCGCCACTATTCGACGCTGTTGACGCCCAACATGTCACGTGACAAATCGCAACGCGTTTTAGAAAGGTGAACGCGATTCGAGAATTATATCCTCCTGAGAACCAGGAAAAAGAGTTTTGTGAATTTTGTTGTTTTTGTAAGTCATTACATTGGTTGGAGCATAAGAAACAAATGAAAAAAAAATAACATTTTTGAAAAAATATATTTAATTCATATTTTATAAAAAAAAAAAATAGACATGAAAAGGCATGTATAGGCAAAAACAATGTTTTATGTTTTCATTCACCAATCAGTTTTTAGGTTTCAGGCTACTTTAAGCCAAACTTTGTACAAAGATGATTCGCAACCATGTTATGAAAGATATAACAGAATGAGTTTATACACTACTGTACTTTAGGGAATATGAGCGTAAAATGTCCATAAATTGGTATTCTCATTCTATACAATGTGTCTATACATGGCATCTAATTTGCACATGAATGTGTTCTTGGGGCAAACCATAATGAAAAAAAAAGAAGTGTAATAATGGGAGTAATAACTTGGCAACATTTTCATAAGAATATCACATATTTCATAGGAATATTTATCTATTATTTCTTTCCCTATTGACTTGTGTTTCCCCAAAATGGCTGATTAACATGATGTTTGTCCTGGTGTCCTCTACAGAAGACAAGTATGACATTTATGCCCTGTTTCGTAAAAACAAAAAATAATATATCATATTTCCCTAAGATTGCTAAATTTGATCATTCTGTGGATATCAGTCGTATTTAAAGATCAAGGAGAGGGAGTGTTTATGATCAAACCTTCAAACATTTGTTATCTCTGAAAAGCCCTGAATGTGCTCTGTACAGGACATCCAGACTAAAAACTGTGGCATGTAGGGTCTCAGAGAAATTCACTAAAATATAATGTCCTCTACAGAGGACAAAAGTCTATGCCTGGGTCCCAGGAGGATATCTAAAAAAACAACAGCTGACTTTCACTCAGTAATGATTTAAACTTCTGTTCTAAAAATAAAATTTGGTTAAAATTTCAATGTGGATTATTTTTATGATACTGTTTTGAGGTTGGCATTTAAATCACGGTTGTATAAAAAAAAAAACATTCATTCATGAGTAAATGACAGATTTACTATTCCTTTAAAGTGATATTGTGTACTATAATTTGTATAATTAAGAACTTTACCTTTTTGACTTGTTATAGACTTTCAACTTGCAAAATCAAAACAGAAGGTTTTGGATCTCTGGCTTCAGTTCTGAGGTCAAACTCTCATCTGAGAGAACTGGACTTGGGCAACAACAGACCTGGAGATCAGGGCGCAGAGCTGCTGTCTGCTGTTCTTCAGCATCCAAACTGTAGACTGAAAACACTGAGGTTAATATATAGAAATATAGTTTTTGAAAAAGTTGTAAAATGAAGCATATGTTACAATTTAATTTCTGTCTCAGGTTGGACAAATGTGGAATCACTGAGAAAGGTTGCACTGCTCTGGCTTCAGCTCTCAGCTCAAAGACCTGCTGTCTGACAGATCTGGATCTGAGCATTAATGATCTACAAGACTCAGGCGTGAAGAAGCTTTGCATCGGACTGAAGAATCCTCATTGTACACTAGAGAAGCTGAGGTAAAAGTTGTAAGACCAAATCAGATTTCCACAAAAACCAAACCATTTGTACCATTATATTTTTTTTACATTTTCCACTTTCTGAAAATCCACTCTTCTATCTTCAGGTTGTCCAACTGTAATGTAACACATGAAGGAGTGACGGCACTGACCGAAGCTCTGAAATCAAATCCATCCCACCTGAAAGAACTTGATCTGCTTGAGAATGATTTGGAAGAGTCAGATTTAAAAGTGCTCTCCATGATACTGGACAAATCATCATACAAACTGAAGAAATAACACTAATACAAATGTTTAAGAGAACCCTTTAAAGGGGTCATATGATGCGATTAAAATTTTTCCTTTCTCTTTGGAGTGTTACAAGCTCTTGGTGCATAAAGAAGATCTGTAAAGTTGCAAAGACTAAAGTCTCAAATCCAAGGTTAAGTTGTATTTACAACACTGTTCCAGAACAGTTTAACCCAAATATTCAGATGTGTGCAGCACATTTTATGGAGGACTGTTTCCTGATCCTGGGAGAGTAGACTACAATGCTGGCAGTTCTGACTCACAGACTGTACGTTTTCATATTTAAAGAATTTGCCAATGATGACATCCGTCCGGACAGGGCATCACAGTATGGTGAGGGGCGTAACATTTCCGTCACATGCTTGAGATACGGCCAATCACAACGCACTGGATAGCTGGCCAATCAGAGCACACCTCGCTTTTCAGACCGATGAGCTTTGTAAAAATCGATGCGTTTCAGAAAGGCGGGGCATAGAGGAGAAACAATAATGTACAGTATGTGAAAAATAATGTGTTTTTTGAACCTTAAACACATTTCATTACACCAAATACACAAAATAATGTTCTTTTTAGCAACATCATATGACCCCTTTAAAAGAAAGTGAAAAATGCATCAATATTAATATCATTGCAAGCTGTATGTACAGTACAGTATGAAGAATAACATCATGCACTTGAGGAAAGAATGCCATGCTTGGTTTATACTAATGTAAAGACATGTGGATATGTTGTATAACGGATTTAATTATTATAAATATAGAACGCCAACTATAAACAATTTCTTTGAATTTTTATTTTATGAACTAGATACAAAAGATCATAAATAAAGCTCTTAAGTTAGGTGCACCTAAAGGTGGAAATACAGAAACTGTGAAATTAAAAGACTCCTCAACATGTTACCGAACCTTTCTTAAATGTACTGTTGTTTTACAATGTTAAATTTACTGCCAACATGAATATTATGCTCACTGTATAATTAAATACATTCTGTTAACACATGTAAAGAAAAAAAAGAAGAAAATGAGGGAACTCAGAAGCTGTACATGGAAACGTCTGCTGGTATTATGTACATCATGAAGAAAAACCATTAAAACTATGTACACACAAAATCCTAGATTATGTACAGTGAAAAAAAGTTTCAAAAAATATATCTGTGACTATGACATTCTTGCAATGATTCAACTCAGCAGTTTCAAACATTTTATCAATTTATACACAGATTTAGCTGTTTGCGTAGGATCTCTGGGTGCAGAGTCAATGGTACAGACATTTATTTAGATGTGGAAATAAATGAAATTAAAAGGAGAGAAAAAAAACAAGATTGACAAAGAAAACAAGAAAGACCATCAGATTGAGTCTTTTACTTTGCTACTTAAAAATGCAAAGATTGGATACATGGAACATGAGTAACTTAAGACTAAATCTTATCTGGATCTATCTCCTCATTCCCTTTATTTATTTATTTTTTTTTCAACAAATAAAGCAATATAATTTTCCATTCAGCAATGCCTCTGAAACTCCCATCTGGCCTTCATAAAATAAACACACACCGTCCAAAAGGTCTGTTAGTTTCGTTTGCAAAGGCTCAAAATCTCCCGAGGCAAAAGATCTGAATATAATGTTCAAATCTGATCCACAGGGAACAATTCTTTCCTGCTGATGACGAGCGGCCATCCTGAAAAGATCCTGAGGTGAAAAGCGTCGTAGTCTGTTTGCACTTAGTTGAAACGGTTCTTTCCACTTACAGAAGGAGGACACTTGCCCAACTTTCTGCCTCGCCGCCTGGAACGACAGGGCCAGAAACATCTCATCTGGAGAGATGCATTAAGTCATTTTAATTCTCGGCATAATGCCAGTTTAAAATCTTTAGACTTGAAGAAAATTCCTCATAGAAGCACAAAGAGGCCCAGAAAAGTGCAGTTTAGCTCATTCACTCTGATCTTCATACCGTTTGTTTTCATTAAAGTGCAAGAGTGATGTGAAATATTCCGTCCCTCTTGTAATCCATGTTAACCAACATGATGCATTGTTTTTTCCCCTCGTCACAGATCAGACAGGAACCTTTGTGTCTTGTCTGTGATGCATTCCAGACAACAATTCCTGCACGCTGCTCAGGATCTTCCTCTGATGTGCACTGCATGAGATTCCCATTTTGCCCAGATCCCTGTAAAAGAGGGAGTTTTGGTAAGCTAAAGTCATCTTCAAGCTCATCAGGATGTGTAATTGGCTGTGTAATGTGTTAAAGTGGTGCTCACTCGTGACTCATGGGTAAGACGCTTTCTAAGCTGCAGAATCCTGCTGTGCTGAAGTCTTCTCTGTATTGCTCAAGTCCAATGATTTTCAGCCATTCCTCCACAGAACCCAAAGAGGGGGCGGAGCCTTCAGAGGGGGCGTGGTGAAGTGTGGAGGGGTGGGGCCTGAGGGCGACAACATTAGAGAATACATTTTTACCCAGAGAAAATTAACTTGTCAGAATTGTGTGTTTGTATCTACTTAACCATCATTTTGGGGACAAATTTGTACCCAAAAGTGAGCAAGACCTGACAAAATCGCCAAAAACCTCAATTTAGGGACCTCCTCATTTGTAAAACTGGTATAAAAATAAAGTAAACAAAGTTTTTTTGAAATTGTAAAAATGCAGAAAGTTTTCTGTGAGGGGTTGGGGGTCTCTCATGCTCATCAAGGCTGCATTTATTTAATTAAAAATACACTAAAAACTGTAAAAATATGAAATATTACTACAATTTAAAATAATTGTTTTCTATTTGAAAATATTTTAAAATGTAATTTATTTCTGTGATCAAAGCTGAATTTTCAGCATCATTACTCTAGTCTTCAGTGTCACATGATGCTTCAGAAATCTTTCTAATATGCTGATTTGCTGCAAGAAACATTTCTTATTATTAATGTTCTACATATTTTTTTGTGGAAACCAGGACACATTTTTTATTATCTTTTTTTTTAATGAATTTTAATTAATGTAAGAACAGCATTTATTTGAAAAAGAGATTTTTTCCAATATTATAAATGTTTTACTGTCACATTGGATCAATGTAATGTATCCTTGCTGAACAGATTTCTTAAAAAATAGACTAAATGCATTCTGAAACACAATAGCAGATGAAATTGAGCATTTTGAAATATTACAGATTACAGCAATTATAAGTAGCTTCTTGTCAAGATTAAATTTCTGAAAATGTCTCCAGAAGAATAGAAAAACCTAATACAAGTTCATAAGGGAATTTAGGAATTAGGAATTAGCCAAACACATATTTTAGGACTTGTACCAAAATATACCCAAAATAGCAATAAAAAATGTGAATGGAAATCTCTGTGTGAGTCTGTGTAAGTGTGCATGTTCACCTGCTGGCATCTCCTGCCGTCCTCCTGAGCGTGGCAGGATTGCGTATGAGTTTGTCCAGCATGTTCACAATCTGGCTGAATTTGGGTCTGTCCGCTCGTTCCCTCATCCAGCACTCCAGCATGAGCTGATGCAGAGCCAGCGGACACTCCATGGGCGGCGGCAACCGGTAGCCTTCCTCTATTGCCTTTATCACCTAGGAAACAGGGGAGAGGAAATGAATGGCTGATCTTGCTGATCTACGGCATTCATTTGGTTTGTATAACTTGGCATGGCACACAATAGCATGATAAAGCCGAGTATTAATTACTTTGCATGCATTTCTGGAAAGTGTACCATGGGAACGCCAGCGCTGAAGGCATGACAAGCATACGTAATTCATTAGATTTGTGGTACAGTGCCACTCACATCCTGGTTGCTCATGTCCCAGTATGGTCGTTCACCATATGACATCACTTCCCACATGACGATGCCGTAACTCCACACATCACTGGCTGAGGTGAACTTCCTGTATGTGATGGCTTCTGGAGCCGTCCAGCGGATTGGGATCTTCCCTCCCTGTGATTGACAGGTTCATGTTACTGACAATAATAACATCTCATTATAAAATCTATCTATCTATCTATCTATCTATCTATCTATCTGTCTGTCTGTCTGTCTGTCTGTGTCTCTATCTATCTATCTATCTATCTATCTATCTATCTATCTGTCTGTCTGTCTGTTTATCTGTCTGTCTGTGTCTCTATCTATCTATCTGTCTGTCTGTCTATCTATCTGTCTGTCTGTGTCTCTATCTATCTATCTATCTGTCTGTCTGTCTGTTTATCTGTCTGTCTGTGTCTCTATCTGTCTGTCTGTCTGTCTGTCTATCTATCTATCTATCTGTCTGTCTGTGTCTCTGTCTGTCTGTCTATCTATCTATCTATCTATCTATCTCTAATTTATTATAAAAATATGAATAATTATTAAATAAATGTTAACTGAAATAAAATAAAAAATAATTTAGTTTTCATTTAGTACTAAAATGACTAAAACTGAAAAACTAAAAGCTGAAATAAAAAATTAAATTAAATAGACTTAAAAAAACAACTAAAAATGACAAAACACAACAAAATTACTTAAGCTTACACTAAAATGAAAATTAAAAAAACTAATTAAAAATATTAAATACTGTAATACTATATTAATAATACAAAAATAACACTGAAAACATCACTTTTTGTCACGCTGCTTGTCTTGTTCCTACATTGAACTGTTCTGTTTCATTGGTGGAGCAAAAATAAATGAACTAGCCATAATATGTCTGAAATAATAATTACTTGATTGTATATATGATAATATGAATGTAAAATTGTGTATGAATTAATGTCAAAACATAGACACACTCTTACCCTGGTAGTATACGCTCCTTCTGGCTCGTCTTCAAGCACTCTGGACATCCCAAAATCTGAGACTTTGCACACCAGGTTGCTGTTCACTAGGATGTTCCGTGCTGCCAGATCCCTGTGAACGTAACTCATGTCGGATAGATACTTCATTCCGGACGCGATCCCTCTCAGGATGCCCACCAGCTGAATAACAGTGAAGCGGCCGTCATTCTTCTGAAAGAGGAAAGAACACATCAGACCTGAATAACGACACCCTGACAAGAATCAAAGTTGCTTTAGTCGTGATTGTTCTTGTGAGTCATTTAGGATGGGGAAAAACTCTAGTTTCTTTTCAACTTGTGTCTTCTACCCAAACACCGCAATTTTTTGACGCTGAAAGGTAAGTGTTAAATGCAGCTCCACATGAACTCCAGCTCTGCGAGTCGCTTATAATGTGCATTTGAAAATGCAACATGCGACAAACATCTTTCCAGAATTGTAATAAGAAGCATTTATAAATGTTGTCAACAAAGAGAAACATTTCAAAATAGAAGTTTCCCTCTGGTTTTCCTCCAAAATAAAAGCTCTATGGTTTAATGATTGAAAGCAAAGAAAAACAACAACCATAAATATTTGTAATGTAATTTTACTGTTGTTATATAAAATTATTATAACTATTATTATATAAATTAAAAGTATTATGAAATACTTTACAGTTCAATTGTATTGCAGTGATATTTTTTAATTATTTAATTTCTATAATTTGATTAAATACTACTTACTACTACTACTACTACTACTACTACTACTAAAAAAAAAAAAAAATCATAATAAACTACTACTACTACTACTACTACTACTACTACTACTA